AAATGTATAAGTCTTGAAAGATAGAAATGTATAATTCTTGAATAGCTTAATCTCAAATAAACAGAGGCAGGATTGCCGAATTATCAAAAAAAATATACGATAAAAAATATTTATTTTTAAAATTTACTATTATTATTTTTAAAAAATCAATTATTTGTATACTCTAAATCATCATTATTAGATTCTTGATCCTGATCATTATCGCTATCGTTAGTGACTAAAGTTTTTGCTATAAATATATATATAATATATAATTAAATATAGATACGTATACATTAATATATTAGATTTATTATTAAATAATATATATAATATAAAATATTTATTATTTATAAAAATATTTGACTAACCTTTTTTAGATCTTTAATTTTCTTTATTATATTCTAAGCCCTCATCAGATTCTTCGTTTATTTCATCAATTTCTTAAATTTCTTGTAATTTGTTAACAGGATCTTTATTTTGTAGATCATCTATTTTTTGAACTAATGTATCAACTTCTTGATTGGATGTATCATTTATTTCTTGATCAGATGCATTATTTATTTCTTGATTTGATATATCATCTATTTTTTAGTCAGATATATTGTTTATTGTTAATTTGATATTATTTTTTATATTATCAATATATATTAACATAATAATAATAATAAATACTATCAATATCAATATCCTCAGAAATAAATTTTTGTGTACATTTGTTTGGTCGCTTCTGTATAGCATATACTAGTCATTTAGGCTTATTTCTAAAATAATTAACTTAAATTAATATATATGATTAAAAAAAATCTTTATTATATCAAGAATAATAATAATAACAATATCTTTTAAATTTATTGTTTGTCTAAGCATTTTATAAAAAACCTAATCATTGGCCGTATTTGAAAACTCTGAAAATTCATTAGCAGCCTCTCTAAACTATGCTTTTTGAATTTCTTTTAGAATATATTTAATGCTATTCTTTTTTGAATAAATACTATTCTGTTGCAAATCATGAAGGTATTCTTATTATAAAAGAATACTATTATTATATAAATTATTTATTAAAAATCGTTCAAATTTATAAGATTACCTTGCATTCTTTAACTAGTGCTGGATCTACATCCAAAGTCTTCACAATAAGAATATTTGTATATCGTTACTAGTAACTAGATCGATTTTTGGTTTTTTGTGTTTTTTCTCTTTTTTTAATTTTAATTGATTGAGCTTTACAAATATACTATTCTACTTTAGAAGCACCATCTAAATCAGCAGGTGGTGCATCAAGTTCACTAATATTATTAAAGGCAGAAGTTTCGCTAGACATTTTAGATATTTGAAAAGAAATAAATAATTTTAAAAACAAAATTTTGCTTAAATATATAAACAATGATTAATTATAATTACGTAATAAACTATTTCTGTATAATATTAATACCACAAAAAAAAAGGCATTTCGGACTATTTTCCACTTAAAATAATCTCTAATAAATTAGATAAATTGTGTTTGATATAAAATATAATTAAAAGACCATAGTTCCTTATATAGTAAATTAATAAATATTATTTTAATACTCCAAAATTATTTTTTATTAGAGAAGAGTAATTAGCTATTACCTTATTATATAAGAAATTATATTACTATAACAGAACCCAAAATTCGAGTTTTCTAAAAAGATAAAATAATTTTCAAGTACATAAATGTTTAAACTTTGATTATTAAAAATTAAACACTTTATATATAAAATATAAAATTAAAATTTTAAACTTTTAATTTACAATATTGTTGAATAATATTCATATAAAGTAAGATTATTAATTATTGATAATAGATTTTTAATAGTAATTATTATAGTTTTTTGGTACTATAACAGAACCTGAAATTTGGGTTTTCTAAAAAAAATAACATTAATTTTTGATTAGTAAAATTAAGTCTTTATATATATTGATAGAGATGTTAAGTTGAGATGTGTGATATACTATATAAATTAAAACTATATATAATTAAAGTTAAATTTTTTATGGAGACCCATCACCATGGCGACCCTATATATAGCAGCCAATCAAATTTAAGGTTAGTAAATTTTATTTTTTATTTTTTATTATAAAATTTAGAAAATTTTTAGAAAATTTTAGTTGGCCAATAGTAAGCAACCTATAGGCCAGTCACGTGCTCAATTTTGATTGGCCAAGCATATAGGGTCACCATGGCAACCTGTCATCATAAACTAATGCCCATAATTAAATATTTGAAAATTTATAGAATACAATTTTACTTAAAATTTTTAAATAGATATATGGCCCTAATTGTTTAATATTTTCATATATATCAATTTTAATATGATTCCTCATTAATATCACTATCAAAATGAATATAAAAGCAATCCAACTAGGTTGATATAAATAAAGAACAACTGTATATTATACACCCCAATGTTAAGTAGTCTGCAAGAACCAAGTTCAGATCAGACTATTCGAAACCTGTCTGAAAATAGAAGTGCTATTTTTTTAAGAAATTACAAAATGTACCACCTATTAGAAGAATAAATGTGTATACTAGCAAAATCTTTGTTAACATGGTTATATCCATTATATTTCACATCTCAATTATATAACCACATTTTTTTTTTATAATCATTAATATTTATCGTGCTGAATATAAGCAAAGACATACTAGCTGTCATAAGAAGAAATTTGTTTAATTGGTTAGTTTTCCAGATAACTTATTTATACATTTTGAAGTACTTTTAAGAACACAACATTTCACTAATCAAATTATTGTAAATATTATTTATAGCTTCAATAAAGTATCAATATTTACTATATAAAAGAATTAAAAAGAATCAAAAACCTCAAGAAATTTAGAAGATATGTCTAGAATGAGGTAATTAAAAGCATTTTATTTAAGGCTGCATTATTATGTTAGATTTAATAAACTAATTATTAATGATTTAATTTGAATATAGCGATAAATGAACTTTTAATAGAAGGTCTGTGATTAATACTTAATGAGTTCAAAACTAGGACTCTACTAGAACTATACTCTAAAATAATTACCATATAGTTTCAAAATTAAGCACTTCCGAAATTAGGCACCACTGATAGTTGGTACCTTCTCTAAAAATAAGCACACCACGTTTTATATTAGTTTTGCCTCTCTGGTTTCACATTAATAAATTTAATGTTTTAAAATTGTTCATTGAATTGCTATAAAGAGTTATCATATCAGGTTCCTTTAAAATATTAAACATCTTAATGCGTGCGATCTCATAAGAAACACACAATCCTTTTTTTCTCTGTCTTATAATCCAATCTAGTGATTGTACCCATCCTAAAAAATACAACCCGGATTACCTATGGGTAGATCCGTGGGTAATCCGAGTAAGTCAATGGGTCTATCTGGGTACAAAGATTACCTGTCAAACCCAGGTCAGAATAAAAAAATTAATACAAAATCCTTTTTGATATAAATATATACTGTGAATTAGACCTATATATGAACAAACTACAGGATCTTTGTAAGTGTACTATACCCAAATCTATTATAGATTTAAAATGGGTAGAATATAACAGACCCAGGTTCATAAAAGAACTTTTGTTTGATTGGCTGATGTAAATCAATTGCCCGGATAACTAATTTATATGGTGCATGTAGCCTAGAACCGGAGTCACGTGATACCAGCGGCCAATTTATGGAAGGAAGGTATGGTTATGGTGATTGGCTGTAAACCCGAATATTTCTGAACAGAAAATCATTGAACATAAAATACGAGCACACCTTTCCTAAAATTTCCGAAATTGGAAAATTTGTTCATTGTCGATACAATATATTGCAAGGTCGATTGTGATGGTTAAAGATTACACAAAGATAACGCAATGATAATGCAATGTTAATGTAACGATAATTATAAGTTAACTTAAATTAGTAACAAAAAAAAAAGATAAAATGTAATACGTATTGATTGTGCAAAAATGACGCAAAAATGATGCAAAAATGACGGCAACTATAGTCAGAGAAAAAATAATAAATAATGTAACAATAGAGATAGCCCAAGCTCAAATTTTGATTCAATTCGAAGTTGAAGAGTGACAAAGTTACATAGTTGAAGTGTGACGGAGTTGATGAATGAAGAGAAGAACTTTTATCACGAACACTAGCATTCCTTTAGATATATCATCGTTATTAGCTGAGCAGGTTAAGGTTAAACTTGTCCATTAAAAAAAATAAAACAATTGAAAAAAAAAATAAATAAATAAATAAAAAATAAATAAAAAATAAAATAAAAAATAAATAAAAAATAAAAAATAAATAAATAAATAAATAAAAAAAAAAAAAAAAAAAAAAGAACGTTGAAACTATCTAATAATTAATCCATACTTCAAAACAATTTAATCCCGGTCACAAAGTTTTGATTGGAACAATTAGAATTTTACCCCAATTCACTCATTTTATTTTCGTTACCATTACCCGTCCAAACAAACGAAGGCAGCAACTTAAAGCTGCTAGGGCCAATAAGCATGCAAAGCATGCAAATTATGAAAATCTGGATGACCATATTTGGTCAGATAATAATATTGATGAAAGGTCTTCCGATTATTTTGCTGTTTTATTGACAGCAGGTAAAAATATAAATGATTGGAAACCTTCGGGTAGAACAATATATGTTGGAGGTTCTAAAAGAACTCAAAGACGCAAAAAAGCGGAACTAAAGAAGGCTGCACAAAATACTCGACCTATTACTGCATACTTACCCCCTGCCTTAACATCTTCTAACGTTGCCTCGGCTTCGACTTCTACTTTTGGATTGTCAACAGAATTATGTGTGCCAACTGAAGTAGAATCAATAGGAAGTGAATCAATGGAGGTGAAATCAATTGAGGTGGAATTGGTAGAATCAATGGAGGTGGAATTAGTGGAATCAATGGAGGCGGAATTGGTGGAATCAATGGAGACGGAATTAGTGGAATCATTGGAGGCGGAATTGGTGGAATCAATGGAGGTAGAATTGGTGGAACCAACAGCAGATGCATCAGCTGAAATTGATGAGAAAACAACAATGAGGTTAGCAATTGAGGAGCTAGATGGGTTATTAAAAAAAAATGACAATCAAATAGATAAAGGTGTAAGGGTTCATTTGCAAGCATCATTGCAATATTTACGATTAAGATACTATCACGATCAGACTAAAATAAGGGCAAGCACAACGATTGCTAGTTCATTAGGATGGGGAGATTATAAAGCACGATGTATTTGTGCATGGGCACAAAATTGGTTAAAGTGGTGAAAACTTCCTAAAGATAATCGTGGCAAATTCACTAAGGTATCAAGCCTTCTTGATGATGAGAGAATATCCATGAAGGTATGTTTTTTTTTTATAACAAATTTTTTTACATGTCTTAATTCTTTGTAACTTAGAATAATTATATTTAAACAGATAATGTCGTATTTAAGAAGTCACAAATTTAGTGTAAATCCTAAAGTTTTAAAACAGTATGTAGAGAATGAAGTATTCCCGTCCTTAGGCATTGAAAAA